GGCTGCAGTCATCTGAAGGCTCAGCTGTGCTGGATGTCCAAGATGGCTCACTCACAGAAAGATCAGAGACAGACCCATGCATATATGGAATTACTTTAATATGTTTTAGAAGTAGCACTGTAGAAATCAGTTAATAGTGAGACACAACTGGTTTCCCAAATTGAACAAAATGAAATTTTACTTATGCCTATCTCATACCATTAATTCGAGATGGATTAAAGACTTGGATGTTAAAAGCAAAACATTTAAAACATTCAGTAGATAATATGGAATAATAGCTTCCATCAACAGATGAACAGATAAAGAAAATGTGGAATATATAGACAATGGAATACTAGTCAGCCATAAAAAATATGAAATCCTGTCATTTGTGTCAACATGGATGAGCCTGGGGGACATTATGCCAAATAAAATAAGCCAGGCACAGAAAGATAAATATTGTGTGTTCTCACTCATATGTTGAAGCTAAAAAAGTTGATTTCATACAAGTAGAGAGTAGAATAGTGGTTACCAGAGACTGAGAAGGGTAGGCGGGTAGGGGAGATAAGGAGAGGCTGGTTAATGGATACATGAGGAATAAGTTCTAATATTCTATAGCACTCTAGGGTGACTACTGTTAACAATTTATTGTTTCTTTTCAAATATCTAGAAGAGAGGATTTTGAAAGTTCCCAATACACAAAAATGATAAATGTTGAGGTGATGGATTTGCTAATTACCCTCGTTTGATCATTACACATTTACACATATATCAAAATATCACACTGTACCTCATAAACATGTACAATTTATATGTGTTAAGTAAAAATAATAATAAAAAAAGATTGGTAAATTAGACTACATTTAAATAAAGAACTCTTTTTTATCAAAACATACTATAATGAAAGTGAAAACAGTTATTATATAAATCTAGTAATGATAAATCTAGAAAATCTGTAATAACTGTTCATGAAATTGTTTGTCCAAAAATAACTTTTACACAAACTAGCAAAGCACAAACCTACACACAAAATTCAGGGCAGACAGGAATAAAACTAAGCAAATACCTACATCTAACAAGAGTTTCGATCTCAGTATGTTAATAGCACAAATAAACCTTTTGTGCCAGATGAAGGTCAATCATGTAAATATGTAATTTTTGAAAATCAATAAACAAATATTTTGTCCATAGTCAATGTCTCAAGCAAATTATGTGATTTTTAATGACATATTAAATGATATATTAAACAGTGAAGAGGGTAAGAAATCCAAGTCATAATCTCATTAACATGCTAAGTACCATTCAATAAACACTGAATCTTGCTGGGCACCAGGTGCTGTAGAATGTACAAACAATGGAGACATAGTCTCTGCTCTTTAGGCCCATAATCTAGTTAGCAAGCAGTAAAATAGATATATAGACAGATAAGCCAAATTTTCATCTAAATCTCAAAGCAATCTGTTTTTCTCCATCTCCACTGATCTCTAAGCTACTAACACCTATTGCCTGAACCTCTCTAACCCTTCCTAATGACCTCCTGCATTCATTTTATTCTATCCCAATCTATTCAATATACTGCAGCTATAGAAACCTTTTTGAAATTCAAGAGGACCACAGATGCATTCTTTGGAGAAACTGACTCTAGATTCAGAAACACAAGGCACAGGGCTAAAAACAGGGATTTGCATAAAAGCCTGTAATGAATAACAAAAGCCCCGACAGCCTCCGCCTAACCTGCCTCTATAACTCTGTAAGACTAGCGCATACCTGCCCTAGAGGGAGAATGAGGATTCTTCCTTAGAAGAACAACCTCCAGACTCTGATATTTGGAGGTTCCCCCAAGGAAAATGCCAGCTTGCCAAAGCACCCATAGGGAAGTACACCAGGAGACAAGCAATCAGCTTTTTAGTATCTCAGAAAAATAGAAGAAGCTATTACACCGGTACACAAACTGTTATTTAAAAAGGAAAAAGAGAAACAAGAAAAAGCTCTTATAAATCAAATATCATAATAGCAGAAACAAAGAATTCAGGGCCGGCCCGGTGGCGCACTGCTGTAGTGCGCTGCTTGGGAAGCGCGGTGGCGCTCCCGCCGAGGGTTCAGATCCCACATACAGACCGGCCGCTCACTGGCTGAGCAAGGCGTGGGAGCAACACCGAGGGTTGCGATCCCGTGGCCGGTCCCGGTCCGGTACGGGCGCGACACTGAGGGTTGCGATCCGTTGCCGGGCACGAAAAAAGACAAAAAGGAATAAATAAATAAATAAAAAGAAACAAAGAATTCAGTAGAAGGAGTTGAAGATAAAGCTCAGGAAATCTCTCAGAAAACAGAAAATTAGACAAACAATCCAAGAGTTCCAACATCCAATAGAACAGGGAATAGCAAATTTTTTCTGCAAGGGACCAGATAGTAAATAGCTTAGGCTTTGCAGACGATACAGTCCTACTGTAACTACTCAACTCTGCTGGTGTAATGTAAAAGCAGTCAAAGAAATATGAAAACAGATGGGACACACAGAATGCCAGATATGGCCTATAAGCCATAGTTTGATGACCCTTGCAATAAAAGATCCCCCCCAACCCCCAAAAAAGAACAAAAAGAGAAAATGCAGAAGAATAAATTATCAAAGAAAAATTTAAGAAAATTTCCCAGAACTAAAGAACATGACTTTTTCGACTGCAAGGGTCTAACAATACATATCATCATCAAATTTTAGATTACCAGGGATGAACAGATCACAAAAGCTCCCAAAGGGAAAAAGAACAGACCCTATGCAAAGACTGGAAAATCAGGTGATACCAGCTTTATTAGAAGTAACACAAAAAAGCTGGAAAGCCTTCAATATTGAAAGAGAATCCCAACTTGAAATCTGTACCTAGTGAAATTAGCAATCATATGTGAGGGGAGAAAAAGGGCATTTTTCAGACATATAATTATTTAAAAATTTACCTCCAAGGTACCCTAATTTACAGGGCTACTAAACGATTACTCCAATAAAACAATGGAGTAAACCAAAATAAGGAAGACATGATATCCAGAAAAACAGGCACCTAACCACAGAAGAGCAGCTAAGGTAAGTCCCAGAGAATCAGCTGTGCAACAAGCCTAGAAAGTGAGTCCACAGTGGAACTGGGGGAAGAAGGGCTTCAGAAGGAAATCTTCAAAATAAAGAATGGAACTGATGTATTTGAGCACATGAAAAATATTATTTTTTCATAAAAAAAGCATGTGACAGAGATGTGAAGCATTTAGAAAAAAATAACTAGAAACACAGAAAGCCAGGCAATTTTAAAAAGAAAGCAATACTTAAAAAAAA